AAATAATAATGGATTATGCACATGATTAGACATTTAGAACATGTCCGTAATGAATACGCCCGTATCACCATGATCGAATGCAACACGCAACACGTCATTTACGCACAAATTACTGTTTTCAATGGCCAACTTCACGGCGAACTGTTAACCAAACAAAGTGAAATAGACAACGCTATTCGTGATAAACGTTGTAAACTTGTTTTATGTAATTTAACTATTGTAATGTGATTCGAATATATCACAGTTTTATTACAATTACATTTTTATTATTTGTCACTTGGTGCTTTGTTAAAATATAGTGTTGAAACCTTGAAAAGCTGAAAGCAGTATATAACATGATTACATTTTATGCCCAGTGAGATAACCCAGCGGTAAGACATTTGTTATTTTTCTTCTGTGAGCCATTGATAACGTGTCCATCACTTAACGTTTACGATATTTGATTATATGAATAGAAAATATTATATTTAATCAATCCAAAATAGTTTGCCACATCCGTGATCTTATCATTATTCACCAGGTAATTAGCATCAAGGAATTGCAATCTAATATGCACATTAGGATGTTACAATGTTATAAATAAGAAAAGTATATGAATAAAATAAACTAATATATACAAAATCATGGAGGATAATTTTCAAAAGAAAGTTGATATTGATTGTTCTTCAAGTGTTCAGTTTGAAGTCATTCCACCAGATGTTGCAAAACTACCTCTGCGCCTGAGGATGTGTCCCAAATTCCTCTGCCAACTCCGAATTTTGCACAAGAATCACCTATAACTTACAATGCAATCCCTATAATAAGCGAAGGAGACTCTACGACAAAGTGAAAGATGAATTTTATGACTACATATTCTACTATAAAAGATATGAAGTTTGAAAATGAAGTTGATAATTCACTAAGAACTATATAAGGATAAAACTGCTTGTGATAATCTCACTACTAGCATGCATGCTGCAGAGTCAGTGGGAAGTTTTTACAACCTGACATAAATGAACAAGTCTTACGTTATCAAAATGAAGCATTTGCGAGAAGTGGCAATGCAGAAACCATCTTTTAGTAACCAATTCTTATCAGTTAAAGATGAATCAATACCAGTTCAAGAAGTGAACTTAGTTTCTGAAAGTGTTTCTACTTCGGTGGAACCCAAAGTGAAGTTTTGATTTCACAAGGTGAATCTAATGAGAATGTCTCACTTCTCAAGTGGATGATAATGTAGCAAAGAAAGCATTAAAACAGAAAATGAAAGTTTTGTATCTGATACAAAAATGATTCAGTCTGAAACTGCAGCTTTTCAAGAACAAGGCAGCGAGACAAAAAATGCAGATGATTTCTCCCCAAGTGTCTGTGACTCTGATGCAGCGATTGACAAAACAATTTATCCAAAATACAGAGAGCATTCAACACCCGAAACAGAAACTTTGAAGCCAGGTTGTACTTTCAAACAAAAACTGTAAGTATTTCTGAAGTAGAAACTAATCATACTCTATCATTTGCAGATTCTAATACTGATGTATTAAATTTAAATGTTGAAAATGTTTCTGGAAAAAATTTGAAACAGAATCAATGATTACCGAATCGTATGCAGAAAATACTAGCACAGAAAGAATTTTATCTGAAGATGAGTCAATGGTACTGACTCCTATGCAGAAAATACAAGTTCAGAAGAAATTCTAATTACTGAAAGCTCTGCCAAGCTAAAGTTTAGGAAATGAATCAATGATAAGATTCTAATGTAGAAACTAGTAATGAAACATCATAATACCAGAATTGGCACCTTTAAATGTTACATCTCAAGCTGTAACTTTTCATTCTAATCATGAAACTACCAGCAATGAAGCCATAACAACTTCTCCAGTACAATGTAATGATGGAAATATTAATTCCAGATCTGAAATCAATTATTATGATAATGTAATATGCACTGATGAAAATGACCTGATGAAAGCTGAAACATTCTCAAATGAGATTGATACATCTCAAGTAGATGGTTCTCAAGTTGATACAAATTCTGAATAATTACTTCTGAAGTTCTAAACGATAGTTTTGCTTCCAAAGATTCTGACCCCGAAATGTTTAATTCAGATACCAGTAGTGTTCAACTTATGTTCCAGTTACTGAAACTAATCCAAATTTGATAATGGAAAAACATGAAGATACCTCAGCCCAGGAATATTCTGATTGTGCTGAAACAAAAAATAGAGAGGAAGTTGAAGTACAGAACACGCTTGCAGAGTATGTAAGCGCAGTAAATATTAATAAGAAAGCCCTTAATAATCGAAGTAACATCTCATAATGTAAATATTGTTAGTTCTGAACAATTGATCAAAGTAAATTCAAGAAAAGGTGAATCGAATCCCAAACAAATGAAGACTTTATGCAGTTTGTTCCTCCTCCTAATGATAACACAGTGTCTAATGATAAGGAAATAAAACCACAGTTTCACAAGCAGACATTGAGTCAACAAAACATCTGGATTTAACGAAAGTAGTTCTGAGAGGTTACAAATAAGTGATGATAATATTGAATTTGTTGTTGATAGCAAAGAAACCCCGATTTCCAAAACAAACTTAGTTGATTACATTCAAACACACGATCCAACTATTGAGGAAGATGTAGCTACTGTTCAATATATTGTAACTAATGATAACGAACAAATAATAGAGCATGCTAAAGTTGAATATGAAATGATAATGGTGCAGAGAAGTTCTTCCAGAAGGAGTACAGTATGTTGTTTCTGAAGCTGCAAATGGAGATCCAAATGAGCAGAGTTATGTTCAGTATGTAGTTGCCGATAATACAGATGATAAATTGACTCATTTTCACACAGTTGCTGAAGGTGAAAGTGGGAATCATCCTGAATATATACAATATGTTGTTTCTGAAGGTTCAAATCAAGAAAACATGGTACAGTATGTTGTAACTAGTGCTGGAAATGACAAGGACATTCCACATCATGTGAATTCTGAAAATTTTGTTAGTTACATTGTTTCGGATACTGCTAATGAAAAAGATGTATCAAGAGATGAAACCTCAGACCAGGCTGGTATCACTTATGAAGTGATTGATGAAAGTTCACAAGAGCCAACTGCAGTTGTCATAGAAGAAATGGAAGTTGAAAATAATACTAATGATCAAAATGAAGATATTGAAATTTATGTTATTGAAGATGACAATATGCAGGTTATAGAAGTGCATGTAGAAAATCCTAATATGAAAAACTCTGATAACACATCAGAAGATAAATGCAAAACAGAATCTAATAACCGAAAACGAGCGCCCACTGGCAATTATATTGAAGTAGTTGATGCCAAGGGTGATACAACTGCAAAGTTGCCTTGTCATGTTCTTGGTAGAAACTTAAAAAATCCAGAAGCTGATGTTTTAAGTAATGGCAGAAACCCTCCGAAGGTTAGACCTGGTGTAAAAGTGCCACCTTTAAGTTTGACAAGCTGTATTGTATCATCAGAAGAAATAAGTGAAGAAATTGATAAGAAATTAAAAGCCGAAGTACCAGTTTATGATAAACCCAAAGTTGGTGATATTTTATTCAAGCATAAGATAACTAAGAGATTAGCTGAAAAGCTTTGTACAAATCCAGGAAATGTACAGAATCCTCCAAATAATCCTAAATCTAATCAAAATCTAACAAAAGCTTCACCAAATACTCGATTGGCTAAAAAGAATTTGTTGTCAAAAACAAAACCCAAATTAGACAATGCCGATCTTTTAGCTATTTTAGAAGGCGATGAGGATCCAGATTGGTCAGAATTGAAACCTGTGGAAACAGATCAAGCTCCTCCTATTTTGCAAGCAATTGAGAAAAGTATCATATCTGGACATAGTGGTAGAAGCCCGCCCCCGGTTTTAGAAGCCCAGGCAAGAAGTAATACTTCGAGAGCATTTTTAAAACTAGATTCTGAAGAAAAACGACGCTTGGCGCAACATCAACTATTGAATTTGCCAAATGTTCCTAACATATGCTCAAGCAGGCCACGTGGTAGGCCTAAATTAACAGATTACAATCCACTTAAACATACGCTTTTGAAGAATGCTGGTATGGCAGTGTATACAACTCCTCGATCAAAAGATCCTCCAAAAACATATAGTAACAGAAAAGCTAATGATATTATTAAAACACTAGTTTCTGATTGGGATGAGGAATCCAAAGATAGTCAAAAAGAATCAACAACAACAACAAAAGATCAATCATCAACAACAAATTTGACAAAGCCCACGGAAAGTACTAAAATGCAATTGGAACCAAATGAAACAACCAAAACAAAGTCGCAACCTACTGAGGAGAAAACAGTGAACAAAATAGGTACAACTGCGGCCACTAGTTCTAATGTGAAATCTACATCAACAGCTGTCACAAAACCTATCCCAAATACTACTGCTAAATCACCATCTGTAAAATCTACAACTGCTGTTTCAAAATCTACTCCAACACCAATAAAAGCTGCACCAACAGTTGCAACGAAAACGTCAGCACCTACATCAAAATCTTCATCATCTGCTAATTCCTCAAGTACAACTGTTGCAAGAGCTTCTGAAACAACTGTAACAAAATCTAACCCGCCTGTTACAGTAAAACGTAAAAATTCACCATCAACAAATAGTCCACAACTGGGAATAGTACCCAATAAAATAGCTAGAGTCATAAAGAAAAAAATTATTTGGGATCCAGATAATCCAATGACATCTGCAAGTTTATCACCATCCTTAAAAACTGTTAAGCGAGACCCTCAAAAAAGTTCTTCTGAAAATTCTCCAAATAATGTGAAAAAAGCAGCAGACATTGCTGTTAAGAAAACAGTTGTGAACTCAACTGGAGCTAAGAAACAAGTTGAGAAACAATCAACAGAAGCGGAAGTTAAAAAAGAAGATGCGCAAGAAGTTGAAATGCAGGAAGCTCAGACTCCAGCTAACGCAGTCGGCAGAAGATCTAGATTGATTCGAAAAGTTCCTCATAAACCTATTAACCCCAATAGAAGCCTTGTTTCTAAATCTACTAGTCCCAGTCCAACTATACCGAAGAAGAAAAAACTTACTGAAATAGACAGACTGCTAAGTGATGAGGGAGCTGTTAATATGATATATTCTGTAGAGCGCAGAAATAATAACGCTGAAGTTCCCGAAATTGTTACCAAACCAAATAAGCGCTTATTGATATCTCTTGAAAAAGAACGCAGGAATTTACTTTCTAAAGCCAATATCATCAAACAAGCTGTTCTCAGACATAGTTCGACTGCTGTAGCATCGAATCGAAACAAGAAACCCTTGCGATTTAAAAAATCTGCAGTTGGTAAGAGGAAAGTGGTTTCATTAAAGAAAAGGGGTGATCAGACAAGAAACTCAACGCAATCCTCTTTGGTAGAGGAAAATGCTGAATTTTCATTTACATCAGTAAATGAGTCTAGAATTATAAGAAGGCATTCTTCAAGCTCTTTTTCCAGTACATGCACGAGTCCCAGGAGACTTAGTGTTGATGGTAAAACTGGACCAAACGCAGAAGAAAAACTAATTGAAGTTACTGCAGAGTCAGAATTATCAAAACCTTTGAAAAAGCGCCAAAAAGGTGGTGTTCCAATTTACTCGAGACCCGCAGAAAGCGAAAAATCCTACAAAGGTAAAACTAAAAGTACAAATCCTGAACAAGTCGCAAATATCACAGAAGAAACAAAAACTACCACTAGTCCTAAAGAGGAAGAAAAAGTCGGTAAAACCATGAGTACCAGGTCTAACAAAAAGGTTATCAGTGATTCGAATCTTGATGAAAATAAATCGCAGGAAGACCCGCCTGATCGCGTTTCGGAAGTTGCAGACGCCACTGAGAAACCTGCAATCACGGAGGATGACACCAGTTTAAAAGATGAAGCTGTTAAAAATGCCGCTATATCTAAAAAGCTTAGAAAAACTTCTGCAATTGAGAGTGAGAAAACTCAAGTTTCCAAAGAACAGAAGACTTACGAAGAAATTAGCATTCGTAAACATGAAACGCTAGTTCAAATTATTTTAACACCAACTTCGACCAAATTCAAAAATTCATTGAGTAATCAGGTACGTAAAATGTAAATAAAAACATTAAAACCCTTTTCACTCGGCTGTCTTTAAACAATGACTCAGTTCTTATTGTATCGTCAAATACACTTCATCAAGATTGAGCAAACTTAATGCGGTTCTTTAAATATGTTTTGGCGGCTCGCCTAGCATATCTCAAGTAGAATTTTATTTATTTTATTAAGTTTATTCCATCAATAAATTAATCATAATGCATTATTAATTTCCTGAGGAAGTTTGTTTTTATCAAAAAATCCGATTCGCTAATTTTGTTTTCTCGACGTTTAAAGCCATTCTGAATCGAATGAGACCAAATTTGGAAAAAGTATGTGTGTGTGTATGTATTTGAACAGATTTTTTGTCGTAAATCGACGTTTTCTCGAAAACGGCTGGACCGATTTCAAAAATTCAAAAGCCATTCGATGTATCTCGATGAGGACTAGCGTTTATCAATTTTGCGCGACGATCAGCCAAGCCGTTTCTTTGTAAATCGCAGAAAAGTGAAAAAAATGTCGTTCACGTTTTATCCCGCATTTCTGAATCTATTCTGAAAATTCAATAACCGTTTGAAAGATATTGGTTGGGAATCGTGCTTATTAGTTTTTGGAAAAGATTGGCCGGAACGCTATTTTGTAATAAAGTGTTAAAAAAAATTTTCGACGATTTTTATGATTTTTTTTGACGGTAGATACCATAATCATATAGATTATACTAAAATATTACGGCCGTACGACAAGTCGTTTAATTTTAAGAATTCTTCAAAGTTCTAATTTTTGCAAACTTTGAAGAATCGTTTTCTCAAAAACGTCTAAACCGATTTCAGTAATTTAAAAGCCATTTGATGTATCTCAATAAGGACTATCGTTTGTCAGTTTTGTGCGACGATCTGCAAAGCCGTTTCTTTGTGATTTGAAAAAAAGTGTTACACTTTTCGTCCACATTTAAGCTCATACTATCGAATCTTTCTAAAATCAAAAACTGTACGAAATATATTAGTTGGGAATGATACTGATTAATTTTAGATGAAAATCTACCGAGCCGTTCACTTGTAATTAACTGTTGAAAATTTTTTGTTTTGGCGATATATATCATGGTCTTATAGAACTTACTAAAATATTACGGCCTTACAAATAGTTTAATTTTACAAATTCATCAAAGTTTGAGAAAATGAGTAGTTTTTTTGACGTTTGTTAAAATTAAAATTAGACGATTTACTTAGTATAGCGATAGAGCGAGTACTTGGTCCTAAACCATTAAAATCTTACGGCAACTGGTTCAATTATAAAATTTTTCAGAATGCGGCGCCGAGTGGAAAGAGTTAAAAAAATCTGATAAACATCATTATCTTTGAATGAATTCATATTGATTCAAATCATGATCTTATGTTTAAGGTTGTTCAAGAATTGTGTGAAGTTTTGAAAGAATTATCAAAAGACTCATCATGTCATGTGGTACTCATAACTTCTTCAGGCAGTATATTTTGCCAAGGATTGGATTACTCAAAATTATTACAGACTTCATTGGAAAAGCGTCAGCAAGTGGTTCAAGAAACTGTGCATGGTGTTGTGTAAGTATCACATATTGTTCTCATGATATTATCAAGAGTTAATTTTTTTTTTTTTTTTTTAGAGAATTACTTCGAGTTCTTGCAACCTTTCCTAAAATTTTAGTTGCTGGAGTGCATGGAGCAGCAATTGGATTTGGTGTTACAATTTTACCACTATTTGATTTAGTTTTAGCTAGCGATAAAGCAACCTTTAGTGTTCCTGCTACAAAATATGGATACATACCAGAGGGAACATCATTGATGCCCTGTTATCGGCTGCTATCACAGTCTGTGGTAAGTATGCAGAATTATTGAAGATACTTAAGACCAAAATTGATTTAAATAAAATTGCTATTGATTCATTTTAAATTAGTTATCAATTATCTACTATTAGTCTGAGTATTGTACAAAATATGTTTAATTGACATCCTGATGGAGAAGTTTATGTTTTCGCGAGACTATACGATTTGCTAATTATATGTTTTCTCAATGTTCCAAGTCATTTTGAATCTAATAAGACGAAATTTGGAAAAAGTAGATTTTTGACTTTTTGTCGTCGTTTTCAAAAACGGCTGGACCGATTTAAAAGCCATTAGATGAAACTTGATAAGCCATTCGCATTGGTTAGTGTTCTTATACGATCAGTTTCTTGACAAAGATCTGCCAGGCTTTTTCTTCGTAATTGATTGTTAAAAATGAAGAGTAATAACTTCAAAGATTTATAGAAACTACAAATAATTTAGAAATAATTTCTAATCAATAAACTTACGTTTAGTACACGGCACAAATGTTTAATTTGTTTTATTATTTTCAAGAAACAGGGTTTAATATTCTTTATATTCAGGCATTTTTCATTAAATCAAGATTTGTACTACGATGTAACTTTTAAAATGGTTATTTATATATGCCAATTTCCTTGTTGATCTCGGTACGCTTACAACGTTGATGCCGGTACGCATATAACGACAGATCTCTATTCACATACACGACGACTAATCACAATCGACCCGTATAGAAATGATTTCATCGAGAGCGAATGACGAACAGTTTGGGCGTAACTCCATTTCCGTTGCATTTGTACGGGTTTACACCTTAGTCGTGCCTAAAGAAGTTTTACTTAAAAAAAATTCCGATAATTTTAATGAAACTTGGTATGGCGATAGAGTACCTGGTCTGAATGTTGACATTGAAGAACAAACATTTACAATAATACCAAAATTTATTTTCAACATGTTTTAATTTTAACAAACGTCAAAAAACTACTCATTTTCTCAAAATTTGATAATTTTTTAAAATTAAACGACTTGTCGTAGGGCCGTAATATTTTAATATGATCTATGAGAATTTGGAATCTACCGTAAAAAAAAATCATAGAAATCGCCAAAAAAATTTTTTTGTCTTAAAAAAAATTCCGATAATTTTAATGAAACTTGGTATGGCGATAGAGTACCTGGTCTTTAATGAATATACTAAAATGTAATAGTACCACAAATAGTGTTTTAATTATAAACATTAATTAAAGTTTGGATTAATAGGTCGCGTTTTGAACATAATCCGTAAATACGTATTCGTTTTAATAAAATGTATGTATAATAAAAAAAGTTGTTCAAAATTGAATAATCTGTGATAGGTACACTTATGAATCACGTATAAATTAATATCGGATTCTCATTTCCATTGTTGTATGTCAGACTTATTATTTACGCATGTCAGGAAGTTAATGCAACTTGCCTTATGGTAAAATGTCACTTACAACTGTAGTTAATTTTTATATTTGAATAGGTCAATGAACTTATCTTGGCCTGTCGAGAACTGACAGCCAGTGAAGCCCTGCAATATGGACTGGTAACGAGAATTGTGTGGCCTGATAAATTTCATGAGGATCTTATTCCGACTATCAAAGCTTTGACACATCATTCAGTGCAAGTAAGAATTTGAATTCATATACTATTTTTTTACGGTGAATTATTAATATCACAACTTGTTTCTTATGTTTTTAGGCCATGATATCCACAAAAGTAATGCTACGTCAGCATTTGCTGAATAGTTTAGAAGGTGCTTTGGAATTGGAAAAAAAACAGCTCACTGAGATGTGGATGAGTTCTGAGTGCCAGAAAAGTTTTAAAGCAGCTTTAGATGAAGGTTTGTGGGAGTAAAAAGTTCAAAATTTATTTTCCTTTGTAGATAGAAATTTTTTAATATGGAACATAATCCATTATTTCATGATAGAAAATACTTGTTCGAAATTATTTTATTAACTGCCAGAGGGAACAGTTAAAGATATTTGCACTGTATATAAAATTTATAGAGATTTTTTTAAATTAAATTTAAAATGATGATTTTTATTGTGTAACTTTATTGTGTGCTTATTTAGATATATTGACTGACTAAGTTTGATTTTTTTTATAAAAAATAATTAGAAACTGATGGAAACATGTAGGTTTCTTTAACATTAGCCTTATTATCATAATCTCCCTTCATGATTCTCAGATAATAAAAATCACAACCACTTATAATATTTTAAGATGCAATCAAAAACATATATGCTACATTATTAATTTAAGAGAAATTTAATGTTCTGTTTTTAGATGCAATATTATACTACATAAGTTATGCTAACTCACGATTATTTGTTAAATCGATTAGTTAAGTTTATCTAAATTTAATAGATATTTATTTGGTGATAATTATTGCACTAAAAATATATTTTTGGCATTACATGGATATGGTGTAACTATTCTTATTATAAGATTATAGTTTTGTTGAAAACTATGACACAAATGAACAACATTTTAATAATAGTTTAAATCAGATATATGGCTTTATTTTATATAATTCATATTTGTTTAAATATATATAAAAGATAAAAATAAGCTGTAAGCGTTTGTCTTCATAAACTTAGTGTAGAATACTTAAACTTTTGTTCCCAAATATTCATATTGACTAAATATAGCTTCTGGTATATATTCATATAATTCCTTCTTTGGAATACTTGCATGCTTGATAAATATTTTCAAAAAATGCAAAGTTGTTATTGCTTCTTGCGGAAATTCAGAACTCCTTGCACTAAAAGGAAAAGTAGCATATCTTATCTTTGAAATACAATAATTTCATAATTTTCAATACCTTAATCCATGTGTTATAAATGAAAGTACATATTGACCCATGAGTGCCAAAAATTTATTCTTGATTTCTGCATGGCATTGGCGTAATATTGTTTGCACACCGCAAATTAATGGCAATGCATCTATGTGGTCTGCTATTTTTCGAACCATTAAACCACCTAGAAAAGATATAGAATTAACATTTTTAAACATAATAATAGAATGTTTCGTCTTACCAATATTTTTATGATAAGTGAACTTTGGTATGTGCACTATTAAAAATAAAAATAAGAGGTCCGCAAAACTGGATGAATTTTTTGTTGTAATATATATCTGTGCAAATGGTTCTGTGAGTCCTGCCCATTGCAAATATCTACCTAGCTCATGTAAAAGTTCTCCTGGTGGCATAGGCTTTTTGGGATCTTTCATATGCTCTTTGATTTCACACATGACAGCTCTGAAATATTATCATCAAAGATAAATGTGTTGATTTAATCATTTTTCTTTTTACTTACTGATTCATTGTTCTAAGTGATGATTCCAAATTTTTTGAATTGAATTTGCAACTGATATTCAATTCATAAGCTATGTGCTTGCGCAGTAACTGCATTTGTCCCACTTTTAGTACCCAGTCAAGAATTTGTGGCCAAACTTTTGTTGCTCGGTTTGTATAGCTTGCATAAAGTTTTGCTGGATTGGGTACATTCTTATTATATGGCTTTACATCATTTTCAAAGCTATTTAACATATCTGTCCAACTTTGATTCTGAAGTATTTTCTTTCGTATTGAATTAAAAAACGTTTGTAATTCTGTCACTATCATAAATGAGTACAAATGGTCAAGACCTGTTAGACCAGCTGGTCCAATGGATTGAGTGATTTTAGAAAAAAGTTTAATATTTAATAATTCTTTGTGGGTCTTAAAGTCAAACCAAGCTATACTTAGATCCACATACACAGTAGTCCTGAAATGTTAAAATTAATTATGAATCCATTTCACTTTTTTTATCTATTATACATCATAAATTTATAAAAATGCGCAAAATGGGATTGAATAGATATTTACTTTGGATCTGTAATTCGGCATATTTCTCTTGCCAGTCTTCCAATAAAATTTATAGAGTTAGCATCAACTGACGGAAATTTAGGAATCGGTATTGTTTGACTTTGGTAGACTGATTGCCAGTCCTGTACCTTATTCCTTAGAAAACTATTGCATTCTTGCTCAACATTGTAACCTATAATTCGTGCCACCTGAAATTTTTTATCTCATATTATCAAATTTATTAATATTAATTGTTTTATCAATTTTAAATACCTCTTCTTGCCAAATTTTTAATCCATTTATGTTTACATAATCTTGAATATATTCAAAAGATCGTCTGCATCCTGATATTATATCCACTAAAGTATCTAGTTTTGCTGATAACTCGTCCTGTTTAGGTTTAGCACTAAATATTAAACCTTTATGCAGTGCATCTGATATATTCAAAACCAATTCTTTGCGTATACCATCCTCTAACAATTGTTTTGGATCAATTGATATAACACCAACTAAAGTTGTTTGCATAGTTAGTATTCCTGAAATAAAGTAATTTATATTAACTAAATTTGAATAAACATACTTTCCATTTATTTTATTGATAATGTTTTTACCATATTACCTCATACTATATAATGTATAATTTCTTATCTCATATAATCTTAAACTGTAGAATTCATCACAAATTATTTTATTTTTTAAAAAAAATTTGATGTATGACTTTCACATTGCAAGATCTAGATTTTTATCTTCCATTTATTTATTTTGAATGTAAACAAGTCAAGATCTTTCAAACTATTCAATAATTATTATTATATCAAATCTCATACAATCCTACACATAATATTTATGTATTTTTAACTTTCTGAAGGAAAAGTTTGCTTTCGCGAGAAAATCCAATTTGCTAATTTTATGTTTTATTTTAATTTTATTCTAATCAGAATCTAGACTGGGCATCTAAATAAAATACATTATTAGAAAATGAAATGGATGAAATGAAATTGGTTATATCATAAGTATGTTTGAAAGACATCAATTGGAAATTGTATTGATTATTTTTTATTGAAAGCGAAAATTTTATTTTCAAAATAAGAGTTGAACGTTTTACCTAAATAGCTGAATCTCAATTGCTATTGATTAAGTTGATTATGTATCGCATCAGTGAATTCATGCAACCTGCCTTTAGACAAAATGTAGCTAATTAAACTTTTCATATTACCTTGTGTCAGGATTGAGACTGAATGTGTCAATTTCGCAATTTCCATCCTTTCATCAAACTTTGCATAATCTTTCAATCTTGATTTGTCTAGTCTGGTGGGTAACTCGAGAAGAATAGAAGTATTAATATGGATTATTTTTGCCATTAACTGGAACATAGTTCGTGGAATGATTTGCAAAACTTTTCTTACATAGTTAACCAGTTCATTACTATAATACTGTGAAACCGAAACTAAATCACCACTATGTGCTTGATTTATACGCAAAAGAGGTATTTCTAATGCACTTGCTAATTTTAAAAATGTTGCTCTCAATTTAATAACTAATGAAGGATCTTTTTTAATTCCATCTTGCATTATATTTGTAAAATGCTCAATTCCATTCCAAGCATAACTTAGATCACCAACTATTTGCAAAGTGATTAATAAGTCTTCTTTAATATTTATTATACTAATCATTTGTCTTAGAGAACTTTCAGTTTCCACTAAATATTGCTTTACCTGAGCACTGGAGTCAAGTAAATGGAAACCCTGAACCTCGTCCAAAGCATGTATCAATTGTCCTAGCTTATGAACTGAGGTATGTATATCATCTATTTTCAATGTATCAATTTGAGATGATATTTCTTTGAACCAAAATTTTAAGCTATCATTTTTTTCTATTCGCATAAGAGGTGTGTCTCCAGAGAATACCTCAGATAGCTCATTTAAACGACTTATAGCGTCTTCTTTATGTTTAGTCCACTTAGTTATCTTTTCAGTCATTATTTTCTTATACATTTCTTTTACTTTATACTCTAACTGAGCAGTGTTTAAAAGTAATTCAAAAATTTCTAATGTATTCAAATCAGAATCAGTGACAACTTGGTCTTTGATTTGTCTGCATTTTTTATTCAAGTCACAAGATATAGTGCAAGGCATTGTGTGCATCATTACCCAACGCAGAGCCACATTACACTTTCTAATCATGTTTAAAATACGTTCAGGATGAACAAGTAAAATTTGCTCTGTTAGAGCACCCTCTTTCAAGCTATTCCTAGTTTGTACTATCAGATTTTTTACATTTTTTCCTGCTTTTATAGATATATCCTTAATGTTGCAGATTTCCAAGGTATTATTCAAAGCAAGTTTTGCAGCCCTTTTTATGGAGAAAGTCAATTAAATTTTTATCATTTATTAATTTCATAAAATTTACTAATAATTACTAAACATATGGTATGGGTTTGATGATTATATTAGTTTTTTTTTCTTCGAATCCCTTCTTTTAACATGAATCAATTTTACATTCAATAAGTTTAGCAAATTAAATGCAGTATGATCAGGGATTGAAAATTATAAGTTACATTCATATGAATTGTGCAAGAATAATTGTAGATGCTAACATTAACTGCATATAATATTATAATTCATCTCACCTGTATGGCTCCCAGCTATCAATTAAATTAATAGTGATACCCATATATATAGAAATGATCCAATTATCTGGAAAAAACTTGTCTACAATTTCTCTCATAACTGCGGTTTGGGACTGGAGCGTATTAGGTGCAAAAAATAGACAAACATACAGCATAGCAGCTTGATTTGCTAATGCTGCACTTCTTTGACCAGGGTGTGAATATGCAGAGACTTGATTGTAAATATCATCCAAACGTAATTGACCTAAAATAACTTCAACATAGTTCTCATCTATTGGAATACGCCTGAAATTTAAAACGAGATTTTGATAAAACATCTTTAGTTATCACAAGTAATTAGAAAAACAACAGGAATCTTTGGAGTAAAACTCTACAAAGAATACTGCAAATTATTATTTAAATAATTTAAATTCAGTACTTAAAATATTCTTCAGGATATCCGTTTGGTCTCTTTGCATTACATTCCATAAGACCGGTGCTTCTTAAAAGTTTACAGACTTCATCAATGTGACCATCACCATGTGCCCTTTGAGGGCTGTATCTGTGGTAACTGACCAATAAACGTTCACGAATTATACCAGGAATGTGCATATCAACAACCAGAAGCATTACACCATAAATATACAATGCTTCACACTGAAATATGCAAAATTAACTTCTAAAATTTAAATAATTCATGATAAATCACTATAACTTACCAGTAATTGTTTCCCTTCAGCATCTTGAATTATGCTATCTAAAGTATGATGGATAAAAACTCCATCATTGAGTTCTGCCAGAAATCCATTTAAATTACATATATATTGATAGATACTTTCGAATGCAAAATAAAATCTGGTAATAACTTTCATGTTATTTTCTCTAAATTCTTCATCAATGTCTTGTAAATCCTATATAATATTCAAATATAATAATATTTTTGATCATATCTTATAAAATATGGGTACAAATTAAACTTGGCATAATCTTACAGTATTTTTTTCAATTTTTGCTTCATGTGCCTCAGGACATTTGAAATATGTAAAATCAAAAATAATATCTGCATATTTGACTTGGTCAGCTTTACAATCGAGTCTGAAACCATTAAATACATGTTTTATACTATTTTCTTTTTTTGCAAATTTTATAATTAGTAGTTTACCTAAAAACTGATGGTACGTAGTCTTTTAATCGTAGAAGTTCAGCAATAATTGCATTTCCACATGAAACTAGATTTAATATTTGCTGACCACAAGGGTTATTCTCTGCTAAAAATTCGGGCATTATGAGGAATGTATTAGTCAAAAAACTTCGGTCCTAATGATTATAATTATTTATAGTGACGACAACTAGATGTTTAGCAACACAATATTGTTGAATTATTTTTTTCGTACATTTTAAAGACGTGCTATATTAAGATGAGCAATGCAATTTAATATAAATATTATTATCTATATCCAAAAATCAAAATTCAATTGTGTTTATCATTATTATTATATTGTCTAGGGAGTTGATCGTGTTTATTTATCAAACTGTCATTTTTGACATTTGAGGTTAACTTCAGTTCATAAACTTCGTATTGCTAATTTCGCAGCCTTTGCACTTTGATTTTTAACTGATAGTATCAATAATAAATTTTTAAATAATAGTGTCATTCATAAGTAATTATATTTTATTTCTATAATATCAAAAATTAGTTTTGTAGTTTCATTTAATTAAATCATTATGGGACCATACAAAACTTTGAAAATAATAACTCAAAAAAGATTGTTAATAATCACTTTAAACCGACCAGAGAAGAAGAATGCTTTCAATAGAGAAATGTACCTTGAATTAACAAATGCCCTCAATGAAGCTGCTGAAAACAATAATATTTTAATAACAGCAATAACTGGTAGCGGAGACTTTTACAGCTCTGGTAATGATTTAAATAATTTTATGGAAGTACTTTCTGCTGACAATGTTGATGAACAAGCCAGAGAATCTTCTCACATGTTTGAGAATTTTATAAATGCATTTATTAATTTTCCAAAAATTTTAATCGCTGTTGTTAATGGTCCGTGCATTGGAGTGGCTGCTACAACAGCTGCTATTTGTGATGTCATATATGCATCGGAGACAGTAAGTAGAATCAATTTTATATTATAATCTCTGCAGTATTTATTTAATTTTAATTTCAAGGCTTACTTTCATACACCATTTACGAGCATGGCTTTGAATCCAGAAGGTTGTTCTTCATATACTTTTCCAAGAATTCTGGGGAAAAGCAAGGTTTTTATAATTTATTAAAGGAAATGGGAAACTAGCTCCTATTTTTTTTAAATCAATTGCTTTTATGCCAATATTGAGATAAGATTAAATTGAAAATAGTTTTTAATGTAAAAATTTTCTGCAAGTTTCCCAATAATATAAAGTTAATCTATTAAACAACATATACAGATCTATTTTTTTTAGGCCAATGAAATGTTGCTTCTAAATTACAAGCTTACTTCTGAAGAAGCTTATAAATTAGGATTTGTATCTGAATTATTCTCCAAGAATTCTTTATCTAACATTTGGTCCAAATTAGAGGATCTTTCTTTGTTGCCTCTGCAATCAGTAATTGAGTCTAAAAAGTTAATCAAAAAATTTGAACAAGAAAAATTGAGAATTGCTCATGAATTAGAAACTATGACACTAAATGAAAGAAAAGTTTCTGAAGAAGCAATTACAGCAGTTATGAATTTTATGAGCAGGAGGAAAAGCAAATTGTAAAGAGTAATATTATATATTTTTATAAATTTTATATTTTAAATTATATTATAAATATGCAAATTCTAATTCTATTTGTATTCTATTTGTCATTATTTCTGATTCCACCAAGAAAGGAGGCCTAGACCAGGTTCACAAATAGTTGCCTGCAAAAAATAAAGAAACAACATAGACATACATAAATTAATACTAATAACAAAATCATAATTACAGTTATTTTGTATGCGACTCTCAAAGCATCATCAGCATTAGTACTGGTAGAAGGTTGTCCAGTAGGTGGACCTATATCCGGAGAAGTCTCTTGAAAAATCTCAGATGTAACTCTAAATCTTATCTTTTCACCTAAATTTTTATAAATTATTTAAAGAAATTTTTTTGCAGATGAAATTTATTGCAATTTTTCATATTTTCAGTATATATAAGGCTTCAATTTTCTATGATAACAATGGTGTTCAAAGAAAAAGCGTTGAAATAAAATTGTAGCCTATTAACATTACGATTATGGTGAATCTGATAAAAATTAAACTAGGGTAAGAATATTACATACCAATATCCATGTACAGATCATGTGTAGTTCCGTCTCCTAAATCATACTCCCATATCCAAGCCTGCTCAATTTCATCAAATCTAGACTTATGTTGCAAATCTTTCGGTTGTATTATTATATCATCAAAAAATCCTACAGTTACTAAATTGATTAGCTATTAGTGAGAATTCAATGATAGTTTATATTCATTGATAATTAAATTATTCACCTATTACACCATCACTACTGCAGCTCTTAATTTTTCCTATTATAAGCTCATCAATAAATGGACGAAATACTATATATCTAAATCTGACTTCGGTGTAAGAAGATCCATCCCCAGGTAATATGACGGAGTCTTTAATTTCAATAATGTCGTAAAGTGCTATACAAAGTCCAACATTTAACACAACCTGTTACGAATATAAGTAATTAGTACATGCTAACACTATATATGTTTTAAATATTTACTTTATTAGCTAATTTAGAATTTAATTCATCGATTATAGCATCTTTGAAAGGCAAATGGAATAAATCGGAAGTTATTCTGACAACGTCTTTGAATTCAGATAAAACAAACATTATACTCCGAAAATGCCAATAAAAGACTCCTATACTAATAACTAAATACAAGGTTTGTTATATAGAATATAAATAAATAGATTTTAGCCATTCACAGGCAGAATAATACATATTATTAGGTTAAAAATTAGTTAAATCATTTTGAGGTTATGTTTTTGCCTGTTGCGTACATGACCAAAGGGCCACCAACATCATAATATTATAATTTGATATGTAACGGCATGAAAATTTATAAAACACCATGTTTATTTTAGTTATATAATCTTAATTATAACTAACGATTCTTAATTATAACTAAAAATTAAAAACAAATAAGATTATTTATATTCTAAATTTATTTACACTTTATATTGTTGGTTTTCCTAAATTAAGTATGAAGCTATTCCTTTTTTGTTGGTTGTTGACGTTACCATGGTTATTCAAGTTATTTCCTCTTCAAGTTATTTTCTAAAATCACGATGTCACTTTGTTATAAATCTAACAGTTATAATATTATTTAATATTACCATAAAACATTCTAGTGAGCATTGGTTAAATAAAACGTGAAAAGTTGATCATGTTAGAAGAATAAAATGCAATATATATTTTTACTTTTTTTATTATTAATGAACATCATAAAGTGCAAAATTTAATTAAATTTCTAACTGTCAATGACATTAAAAAGTCAAATATATTTTTGTGCAACATTGTTTTTGTAAATACTGTTTCTTCCATTGAAATATGAATCTATATCTCGATGATGATGTTCAACCAAAAGATGGTAAATTTTATAGAACTAGAAATTAAAAAATTATACCCTTGTTATTTCAAATCATACAATTTTTTCTATTAACATTTCAGGGCATCAATCAAATAGTAGATTTGAACAATATGAACGCTTTAAATCCTGCTTGTATGAAGATGAACCAAATAGTTTTAAGACTACAAATTTACTTCAACAAGAATCCAAAACGTGGAAATCTAATTTTCCTTACTTAAGAATTGTAGGTGGGGCATATATTTTTACACTAGTAATATGATTACATATTACATCAATACAATTCTACGTTTAATTGATAAATTATAATTACTTATCCATTTGCTGTGCGATCAGGCGTATTTTACATATAAACAAACAAGGAAGAATGTTAAGATAACAGAATTCTAGATGGTGCAGTTATCATAACATTCATTCTTGCCTGTTTTAGCAAATAGATAGACTTTTACATAATTTTCACTACCAATAACAAGCATAAAATAGCGTTGCCATGACAACGCTATTTTATGAGCTCTGTTACGGCAGAATTGCTCATTAATTGCTTATTGATGTAAATATTTTGAAATTTTCCTTTCTGAGTATAGCAAACAAATAATTTAAATATTAATGTTGTTTTAATTAATTCAATAAATTATAGGTAAAGGTATAAAACCACCACCAGAGTTTCAAGCATTTATAAATACAGCAAAAAGCGCAAATGAAATTTTTGCTGATGAATATCAGGACGAGGAAGTATTTGCCGAACATCATGATGAAATAAAACTAGAGCAATTTAATTCTGCCGATAATTTAATTGATGCAATCGCGTACCATTCGACACTTCAAGGTATATTTAGTTTTAAGAATAATTTTATGAAACTATTGCGATATAATATTGTTTAACTATTCAATCCAATTGGCCTAATAAGTATAATTAATTATAATAATTATATCGATTTAGGTAATAAAGCACAAACTAATTTTTGGGATTCGGATGAAACAGAAATTAGCGCTGAATCGGATCATGAGACAGATGGTTTTGATTATGGTAAGATGGAACAATTTTTTAGAACAATATATAATTTATAACAAAACAGTTTTCTACGGGCATATATCCAGTTGCTGCAATTAATACTAAATTATGGTTTACATTTTTTAACATAATTTGCGTATTGTGTTCTCTAAAGAAGAAACATTGGAACTCAAAGTGAAATTTATTAAGCTGGATAGATAGCCTGTTAATTTTTTAATTATATATACATTTATATTAAAAAATATAAGTTTAAACACATTACATCATATTTTTTATTACTTAAATAATTTACTTTATGATCACTTATATTTTTTTATATTACATGTATTCGTTATATGAAGTGTTAGACTTTTAAAAACCATTGTGCATTAGTGATTTTAAGAATTCCTTATAAAAAACATGTTTTTTTTTGAAAGAGTATAAACTAATTTAACCATTTTTGATTTCAAATTTTACAAATATTTTTAATTCAACTGTATTGTAGGAAAAACATTTCGAATAGATTCTGGAAATGATCTACCGCGTACGCATTTAGTAGAAGTAAGAAGCCAAGATCAAACAGAATACAATTCGGAAGATGAGCAATATAAAAGCAATAAATTTGACATAAGAAATATTGATTCCATTTTTTCTAATTGCGATGATAGTAATAATAGACAACAGGATTATGATTATCAAAATGAAAAAAGCACAAAAGTTGAACATTCAGAGACTAAGAAGACAAGTGGTGGCTACGAAATTGGTCTGGAAAATAGTGATATGTATTTGCCGAATAGTTTAAATAATATTAGCGAAAATAAATATACACGAGGCTTAAAAGATGTGCGGAAATCAAATATTGATGCTATCAATAGAATGTCTTCACATGATATTATACAAGATGATAGTTTTGATTGTAATCCAAAATGCGCTACAGAAACTCATCATACTGAGAATTCAGACAGCTACTATGACTCGATATCAGGACATGCATGTATGTTTATTATACATTCTTTATTTAAAATTAAAATTATTAATATAATTACAAATTAGCTTCTTCATAAACATTAACAATCAGCGCATTATTACAATTCGATTATTTGCTAAAATTGTGCAATCATGCGTCCTATTTGAAATATTTTCTATTTTCATGTATTTATTTGTTACTGGCTAATATGATCGTTATTGTAATATAGTTCTTATTTATATCTTTAGCGAGGCTGCAAGAATATGTGCCAAGTAAATTGAATATTCCGACTGATAACGAACGAGATTCTTTAGCCTCTTTGAAAACAGCCTCAAATAAATCAGATTTCTTGAAAAATGATGATGCAAGTTGCAGTGAAATAGACGATATAATGACTATAAAGCATAACGTAGCACCATTCTACTGCAATATCAGGAAGCCCTATGTGCAGGATAAAGGACGATTTTCTAGGTAGGAGAGTTTTTGGACCAAAATTTAATAAACTTAATTTATTAATTATTAAACATATTTTATTTACAAATATTAAAATTGCTTTACAATCTCATTGCAGGCCATCTCATTATAATACAACTAGCACATCATCACGAGGTCATTTATCTTCCAGTACATTGAAACTGCATCCCAGCAGAATTATTCCACAATATAATATTACAAATGATAACAGTAGTTTCAACTCGCCTAAGGTTAACAAAGATATGAGAAGTCCGCAACTGAATATGAAACAGAATAAATCGTTTATTTGTCGAAATCAATATAAAAACAGCGAAACACCTCGTACTTCAAAAACCGGACTCAATTTGCAGCACAACAAGTCCGTAAATGATTCTATTTATACAAAACAAGTAAAACCTAGAAAAGATGAACTAGATGATATTGACGTTCTAGATACTTTTGCAAATGAAAGCGACTTTGTCATTAATAATTTTAGCAAATTAGAAATTTCTAGAGCCCAAAATTCCAGAAAGGAAGAACCGCCTAACTGTCGACGACAATTAAAATATTATGAAAATCATCGCACATTTAAAACTGAATTTACACCATCTACAACATATGAAGGATGCATCCAAGATGTTCGTGGTAACAAATATATCAACTCTAAATGTAATAAATATCCACACTATAGTGTTAATAAGCCCGCAAAAAATAATATACCTTGGAACTGCTCAGCACATCATGGAGACCATGGAAAATCAGTAATAATTAATTCACCAAGATCAAATTACCATTCCCAAAATATTGGTTCTTATCACAATAACAATTTAAAGTCGAAGTCCTTATTATATAAGAACGAAGGAGATTCTGCAAGAAATCTATATTATACAGCTGATAGCAAGAAAATATTAGAACCATATGTAAATTATAATTATCCTTTAAACATGGCAGTTCAAGATATTAAATTAGAAAATATTCAAAAATCTAGCAGTTCGAAATCTTCTATAAGAAATAAATATGTAAATCCTTCACAACATGAGAAGAAGTGCCATAGTTCCAGACCGCCCACAAGCGTTTCGCTTAAAACTGTAAGTATTTTAACAAATATTTGTTGTTAATCGTTTTTTTGGCGTTGAAGGAATAGTAATAACTTGATAATAATGAAAATAGTAATTTAGCGCATATTTAAATAACCACAGACATTTTTTGCACCTAAAATTATAGGCGCACAGCGGGATGCAGTGCTATGATGGAAATTTGAATCTAAAAATTAAGAATAATAAATATTTCTATTATATTCCAGTTATCGCCTATACATTCTGCAGGAATTGGAAAATGTGTTCGGGGAAACAGAAATACAAATGTATCAATTTTCACTAATTTGACAACAAGAAAAACTGACCGTCCACCACCAACTCGCAACAAATTTTTTGGAAATCATGCCACTAATTATCGAACAAGATGTCTTTTACCTATAGAACAGGGTAATACATATATACACACATATATGTATATAGTATATACATTTAATAATATGAATTTTTTATCATAGAATTAACCAAACCTCTGAATCAATCTAAAAAATTTCTTGGAAATCCAAGTATTTTAGAATATAGTGTTAACAAAGGCCGAATTGAAAGCGTTAACAGTGAGCCCAAAGGTATACATTGTATTTTCCAAATGCTTAAATATGTTGAATTTAATACGTTAATTAAAATATATTTACATTTGTCATTTTAAAGGATCGACATGGAACTTGAACCACTTCAACAAAATTCCGCCAATAAATGGATCAAAAATGTGATTTGTGTATATTAGTTATAACTACTTTATTTAATGTACAAATGTTAATATAGTAATAACAAATAATAATAGCATATAGGATGAAACATTTGCCAAATTGCACTTGTTAAATTCATATAGATATATGTATTTATACATTGTAAATTATTACTAAAAAACATATTTTCACTTATATTGTTATTTTTATAGAAATAATAATAAACATCGTATATTATTTTCATGTTATATGTTAATAGAAAATATATTTATATAACAATTTATATAAATCATTAAAGTTTAAATTTTTATCTGAAAATATAAATTTAAAATTAACGATTGATTCCGACATGCATGCCAACATTTCATCACCAACATAAGAGTGAGTGACATATCAGGTTCACATTGATGACATTTGACGTTTTAGTGGTTAGTCAAATTCACCAAAATAATTCGAATGGAATAGTTTTTTGTGAAAGAATACCTCAAATTTTAATAGTTGCATTAAAAGCAAATTATGTTGTCTTCTAACAGTAGTGTTAATCCAAATTCTCCAGCAGTTTCTTACAGTAATGAAAGAGCATCCACGTCCTCCATTGGTGGTGGAGATGTGGAATATGCTAGCGATCCAGCTTCTGGTGGATTTTTCCACTCTGATTATAAAAAGTAAATTATTTTTATTTTATTTTATGATAAATTCTCAATGTCAGATACTCATCCTTAATACAGCTTTGTTAAAAGTTAAAAAATCGACATTTCTATTGATATGATACTGTTCATGTGTATGTTTTCTTTAATAATTACAATATTCTGTTTACAAATGAAAAGATATAAATATTTTTACATTCAGCATAATATCTAAATCATTTAACCATTATAGCATAGTAAATTAATTATTATTGTGTGATATATTTATTTAATTCTAATTTAATTATGCTTGTCTTCTTCACTTTAAATCTTTCACAGATAAGCATTGTTTGTTCTTATATGATTCTATTATAATTCTCAATTATATTGCTATATAGTAATTAATACAGCTATATTTATAGCAACTTATAAAGAATCTCGTGTTTCATAATCTACTGATAGATTAAAAATATGTTTCAATATCTTTTAAAAATTAGTCATTAAGTATATAGAAAAGATTATTTATATTTTTGCATACATGTTTATGACTAAATTATAAACTTTAAGTTAAATGCAGAACTTTCTATAAACAAGATTCAATATTTACTTAAGATGTTAATCCTTATTTGTTTTGTTTGTATTGCTTAAACAAACTTTATTTTGATTACCATTACTATTATGATTCCAATACCATTTTTTCTCAATACTTTTCTTTACTCATTTCTAGACACGATGACTTGAAACAAATGTTAGATTCTAATAAAGATGGGTTAAAATTGGAGGCAATGAAAAGAATTATTGGGATGGTAGCTAAGGGAAGAGATGCATCAGATTTATTTCCTGCAGTTGTTAAAAATGTTGTGTCAAAAAATATCGAAGTAAAGAAACTTGTGTATGTATATTTAGTTAGATATGCTGAAGAACAACAAGATTTGGCTTTGCTATCTATTTCAACATTCCAGAGAGCACTAAAAGTAACTTACATTAATTGCATTTGTTTGATTCTTTTTATTTAAATTATTAATTCAACAGTATTAAATAATATTTTAGGACCCTAATCAACTTATCAGAGCAAGTGCGCTCAGAGTTCTATCAAGTATAAGAGTGCCAATGATTGTTCCAATTGTCATGCTCGCTATAAAAGATTCAGCTTCAGATATGAGTCCATATGTTAGAAAAACTGCTGCACATGCCATTCCAAAGCTATACAGGTATATATTTTATTATAAAATAATATATATATTTAAAATGCCTACTATTTATTGGCATATATATTAAATATTGGCATATAAAAGTATATAGTTTGCATTGCATTTATTGATTAAGTTTGAGAAATTAATAGTATTAATAATGAAAATTTATGATTTTAAATTGAAATTGCTATTTACAATTATTAATACTTAGTTGCACTTTTTAAATTTGTATTTGTAATAAAATGTGTATTAATATACCTATTTATATTTCAGCTTAGATCCAGAACAGAAAGATGAATTAATTATCATTATAGAAAAATTATTATCTGAACGCACAACATTAGTTATTGGATCTGCTGTGATGGCTTTTGAAGAAGTTTGCCCCGAAAGAACAGATCTTATTCATAAAAATTATCGGAAACTATGTAATTTGCTTGTAGATGTAGATGAATGGGGTCAAGTGATTATTATTAATATGCTGACTCGCTATGCTAGAACTCAGTTTGTGGATCCTAATATTGATGTAAATAGCATTCACAAAATATATTGCTTTTTGTATTTCCATGTATATTTAGTTTTTTTGATATCAAACTTTGAATATTGGATTTTAGAATAATTATGATGACGATGAGAACAAACCATTCTATGAAGATTCATCTGAGGAATCAGATGGTGATTTCAACTCAAAAAATAAGAATGAAAAAAATAAAAAGCGTAATGAATCTTTAACAAATTCTACAAGAACAACTTATTCATTAGATCCTGACCATAGGTGATATATTTATGAATTGATATGCTATATTTTCATTGTTTTTAATAATGCAAATATTTTCAAAAACTTTGCATCTCAAATTTGCATCAAGTACAAATATGCCAGAATTCTTATATATTTAAAAATATTTATTTCCAGATTATTACTTAGAAACACAAAGCCTCTGTTACAAAGTCGTAATGCTTCTGTTGTTATGGGTGTTGCACAAATGTACCATCATATTGCACCTAGAAGTGAAGTAAATATTGTCACAAAAGCTCTCATAAGATTATTAAGAAGTCCAAGAGAAGTGCAAAGTGTTGTATTAAACTGTATAGCTTCAATGTCCACATTGCGAAAAGTATGGTTTACACCAGAAATAATATTTTCCTTAGATAATTTATGTTTCTGATTTCTAGGGAATGTTTGAGCCTTATTTGAAGTCTTTCTTTGTAAGAACAAGTGATCAAACACATATAAAACTTCTAAAATTGGAAATTTTAACAAACCTGGCAACTGAGACTAGCATATCTGTGATATTGCGTGAATTTCAAACATATATAAGCAGTAATGATAAAGAATTTGTAGCTGCTGCAATACAAGCAATTGGGCGCTGTGCAGCAACCATCAAGGAGGTTACAGATACTTGCCTTTCTGGACTTGTGCATTTGCTATCTAATAAAGATGGTAAGATATAAGACTATTAACAAAATATTATAATTTGGATTTTAAAAATTTTAAATCTAAAATATTTGTTGTGCAATTCACACTGAGATATATTTTGTTTATATTTTCTTGTAGAAGCCGTAGTTGCTGAAAGTGTAGTTGTAATTAAGAAGCTTCTACAAACACAACCATCTGAGCACCAAGAGATATTAGTACAAATGGCAAAGTTGATGGATTTTATTACTGTGCCTGCTGCTAGAGCATCCATTTTATGGCTAATGGGAGAGTATTCAAATAGAGTTCCGAAAATTGCTCCTGATGTTTTGCGAAAGCTGGCCAAAACATTTATTGATGAGGTAAAATACTATTGCATGTTAATTACTATCTTTATTTATTTGCGCATTTAAATACAGTAAAATTATCGTAAATGGGCATATTAATTATATTTAAATTCATAGTTTTTTTTTCTTCTGAGTTACTTACTTAGTTTTAGTATGTAAAATGAGATAATTGTTTATTTGACTAACTATATAGTTTTATCAAATATTTTACTTACTCTGTTCTATTAATCTACGTAGTAATTCGTTTACAAGGTAGCGTGGCCGAGCGGTCTAAGGCGCTGGTTTAAGGCACCAGTCTCCTCGGAGGCGTGGGTTCGAATCCCACCGCTGCCAAAGTATTTTTTATATTTTTATCGATACTAAACATCATTGAAGTTTATTATGAATCTATTTTTATTTTTATTTACCTTATTTTATTAATAAATGTTACCAAATTTTCAAAAATTAATAGTAATAATTACACAAAAAATTAATTTCAAAACCACTATCAATTTTTTTTTTAATTTCTGAAGGAGTTTATATTTTTGTCTGAAAATTCGATTTGCTAATTTTATATTTTTTCGACGTCTTGAATCATTCTGAATTGTTTGACACCAAGATTGGGAGAACTATATGCGAGCTATATAGAAAATTTGTTCTTACTTCAACGTTTTCTTAAAAATTTAGAAGCTATTTGGTGGAACTCAATGAGGACTCTCGTTATTCGCCAAATTGTTTTTCTAGAATTAGCAGAAAAATGCAAAATAATAAGGTCACCATACGTCCCGGATTGGCCGGGAAAGTTCTGCATTTCCACCTTATGTCCCGGGTTTTTTAAAAAGCATTATTTGTACCGGATTTAGAAGCTCTACAGCAACTTGATAAACTTATAAACCACTTGCTAAGGCCCAACATATATTGATTTTTTATTATTTCATTTTCATTATTCACACATGTTTGGAAGTTCATGTAACATGCCTTGATGCAAAATGCATAAAATAATACATAAATAATTTTGGTTTTATCATTGATTTCATTTCATCTTGTAATCATCCTAATTTTTCATATTAAATTATATATTTAGAATAAAATAAAATCATATTATATATTTATTTTATTCGTGGTTACAGGAAGATATAGTAAAATTGCAAGTTTTAAATTTAGCAGTCAAATTGTACTTGACCAACGCGAAACAGACAGAGTTGCTTTGTCAATATGTATTCAGCTTAGCCCGTTACGATCAAAACTACGATATTCGAGACCGAGCAAGATTTCTGAAGCAGTTCATTTTTTCCAACAATCAAAATTCTAAATTATCCAAAGTTGCCAAGAAAATATTTTTGGCGCCTAAGCCTGCTCCGTTATTGGAAAGCAAATTTAAAGGTAATCGATAGAAAAATCTTCTATCTTTCTTGTTTTAATTATATGAGTATTATTAAATATTATTATTTTTATTAGATAGAGAACAATTTCAACTGGGCTCGCTTTCTCATTATATTAATTCGAGAGCAAATGGTTATAGAGATTTACCTGATTATCCAAAAGAAGCACCAGATAATACAGTCAGAGATGTTGTTTCTCCGCAGGAATCAATAGAATATGCTGTTGAAGAACCAGCAAAACCTGTTATTACAAGAAAGCAGTCGGTATGTGTTTATAATAATTTAATTTATTTATTTAAATAATATAAGGTCAAGTCATGGTTGAGCGGTTAGATCTAAGGGTTATCAATCAGAAGTCTCAGGTATGATACCGAGCTCGATGTCAAGCTGTAGTGACATTGAAATATAGATAGCAATATGTTGATAATATGCGAAAAATAGATTCATATAAGTATGTTTTGGTTTAAACTACTATCATAAACGTATCTTTTATGTAATAGATTTCTCTTTATTGCTTTTAAAATGCTTATTAAATATATCTATTTTGATTCTAACTAGATAATAAAGTCTAATTTGTATATTACTTGATATTGGTTGGAAAATAAGTTTTGTTTCACTCTTATATTTTCGATTTGTTTAAGTTCTTTTTATCTATATTTCAAAAGTGATTTTGCACAGCATATAAGAAACTTGATTTTAAACTTTTTAATCCATTTAAATCATTCAATTTATTCTAATAATTTTCAATCATAGTCCAAAAGACGGTCATTCTATTCGGAATCAGAGCAAAGCTCAGATGAATCAGGTTCGGAATCAAGTTCCGAGTCAAGTTCTTCTAGTGAAGGCTCATCATCAAGTACAAACTCTGCCGACAGTGCTGATGAAACTCCAAAACCAGACAAGTAGATATCTTCTTTATTACTATATTTATATACTTTTATTTGGATAGAATTTGAAAATGATCGATTTATTTTAGAAAGAAACAGCAAATAATAAAAATAGGAAGTTCCGACGCAAATTCTGAGACCGAAGATAGCGATTCAGATTCCGAATCGGATTCTGATAGCGATTCCTCCTCAGAGGAATCTAGTAAAAGCGAAGTTGAAAACGGAACATCGAATGATTCACATATTATTACAAATAAACATAGTGAAAATTCGAACAAAAATATTGAGAAAACTCCACCTAAAAGCAATTTAGATCTTCTATTGGAGCTGGATGATCTGAATATGTCAACTCCGGTAATGACACCCTCTTTAGGTGGTTTTCTAACACCAATAACCCCAAATGTAGCGAGTCCTAGTCCAGGTGAATTTGATTTTCAATTTGCTATTTACTGCTACTTTTCTCAATTAATAATTTTTAATAATATTTATTATTACTTTTACAGGTGTGGGCATAGAATTAGTAGGCCCTAGTCACATTCCATCTAAGACTTTCGACCTTTTGAACAAATTTGCTGGAAATGGTTTAAGTATAACATACCGTTTTCTGCGATCACCACATTTGTATTCACATAAAATGGTATCTATTGAACTAGTTTTTAAAAATTCAAACTCTCAAGATATTGCTGATATTAAAGTTGGCCAAAAGGTAATTTATAAAATTCAGATTTTAAATACCTGTCTTATATTTTATACTTCAGTGATATAAAATATGCTGTTGTAGAATCTAATACCTGGTATGATATTGAATGATTTTGCTCCTATTGACACACTTGGCCCAAATGCTTCTAGGACGGGAATAATTGGAGTGGATTTTAATGACTCCACGCAACCTGTTTCATTTGAAATCTCGTCAAGTTTAGGTAAAAAATGAGCAAATGCTCATTTATTTGCAACAATATTTATTCGGATTTATTTATGTAGGCATTCAAAAGGTGACTTTGAAAGTACCAGTCGGTGAAATTGTTCGATCTATTGTGTTACCAGAAAAAATGTTTGATGAAGAGCAGTTGAAGTTACGTGGGATGACTGAGCATGTTTGCAATATAAATATCCAAACAAATCTTTTAGATGCAAGGAACATGTCGCAGAAAGTATTCGAATGCGTAAATGTTGCTAGTATTAAAGCCGAATCAGCCAACACTTATAAATTCGCTGGCCAGACATTAAGTTCAAAATGTTTGGTATTGATCACTATAAAAATGAACAACAGCGACGCTAAAATTATAGTAAATTGTGAGAAAATGATTATCGGTTCTATGTTATTAAATGAAATTAAATCTGTTATGCAATGATTTATTATAAATAATATATATATTAATATGTCAATTATGTACGCTATTAAAGGGTGACTGACTCTATTCATATAACTTATTTAAATCAAATAACTATTTTATAATATAAAATTATATTTAGAGAATTAAAATTAACTTTGTTGTATAGTAACGCGTTTCGTTTTGTTCATATCGTTCAATATCGAATATTCAAATGCTTTTCGACGTGTAAAATATAAAAACGTAAAACTTTAATAAAAAAAAACCTGATATATCACTATTTGTAGAGCTTTGCTTTTTGGTTTATTCAAAATCATTTGCTAAATTCAATCTTTTTGAGATTTTTTAATTATTTTGTGTATAATATGTATTGTCTAGGATAAACAACCTTGAAATTTTAGTTGAGTCACATATGAATAAAAGGTACAACGATAATAATAATCAAAGTTCATCAGTTTTATTTACATTTATTTTAGTTCATTTTATTTAATCTGCACATAATAAACGATAGTAAATATGAAGTTAATCCGATAAAACGCGAAAGTATTGTTAAATTTTAAAAATTAAAAAAGTTTTTATGATTACAATACAATCGACACTTGTTACTTTCCCTGCTAATAACGTTATATTTAAATCAAGAGTAAATAAAATATTTTTTTTATAAAATGCGAAATGTTAATATAAAATATATATATATAAAATTGTATTTAAAAAAACAAACAAATAAATCAACCTTGTTATTATTAATGAAGTCTGGAAAATATAACCAAAAGTGATATTCTTTAAGAGATTTTTGGTAGAAAGTCTAAAGTCTACCTACTAAAAAATCAATTTTATATACTTACAAAAAGATATCGTAAAGCTGTTTAAATACTGTTACATTTTGGCGGATAAGTGAAAAGCAACAAATGTATAATTAAACATTTAAATTCAATTAACTATCATACATATAAAAGCAAGAATTCAAATTTTAGCTGTGTGTGATATTAAACAAAACTGGGAATTACACACAATGGTAGATTCAAATCGAGTTGTTGCAGTTTTGTATTTTTCAAGATATAAGAAAACGTAATAGCACATAAATAAATTTTAATGCGATCTGGTAAAGTTTTGAACCTGTGCATACCGGATGGTGTGAGATCATCTCCAACTTTTAATATTTTCCTTTTAGTTGTTTTATTCGGAAATAGCCTCGAAATCTTCTTGAAATTTGAGAAAATGTTTATCAAAAATTGCAATTTTATCTTTATTTCTCAAGTAATTTGTTTTTAAAATACCAAAAAAAATAGTTATTATGAATGACAATGTATAATGTTATGACCAAAATAGAGTTTACTCATTGGTATCCCTTTTAGTGTTTATTGAAAAGATGTTTGTAATATAGGTGACTTTAAGAAGCTTAACTAATATTCTAAATACATAATAAAATAGTGAGTAACAAATCAAGTAAATCAATAAAAAAGAAAATCTAATAAATAAATGAATAAAGAATCAAAAACATAAAAATACAAATGTCGTACCTACGTGTTAGATGCAAGCGAGAGGTCGTTTTCTTTTTTCGGATGATCCTGCAATCTGTTATTATATTTATATATTATATTTTTGGCTGAAAGATATTTCTTCTTTTGAAATTCGCTGTGAATAAGCCAATTAGGGACATACCTGGGGGCATTAGCTATCTCTCTAAATGTTTTATTTTGAAAGCGTTGTATGATGTCGATATTTGATTTATAGGCTGAGCCCCAAAACTGTTATGGCCTAGTCATATGCAGGAGTAAACTACTCCTACATATGCCTTATGCAGGAGTAGTTTATTATTAATGTAGAATTTTGATTTTCTGTTCAGCAACCATGGTTTTCTGCCATGGTTAACTGCCTTATGCAGGAATAGTTTATTATTAATGTAGAATTTTGATTTTCTGTTCAGCAACCATGGTTTTCTGTTCAGCAACCAAGGCAAAAACTATACTGCAGTATAGTTTTTGCCTGGCTTCTTCTAACTGTTGGCTTTCTTTTGTAAACGGAACTTCCAATTGAGCTTGGTGTCCAGATGAAGCCCCAGGTATTTGACGAAGTTTATAATAAAAATTGCAATTCAAATAATTATTTTTTATCACTCAAAAATTTAAAGCTACAAACGAACTAAATAATACTTTCATGCTTAATTCTGCTCTTCTACAAAAGTTGAACAGATGTTGACCTGCCTGGTCAACCTCAAACAAAATCACCAGAGAGTGAAATTTAAATTATTTTTATCTATTTTAACTTACTTTTTTATAGTTCTTACAATTGTTTAATCCATATCTTGATTTACTTTAAGGAAATAAAAAAAAAACAATGGATGTTCATCAATCATAGTTAACTGTTGACCAATTTCAAATTTCAGTACCAAGAGAAGTAAAGGAGGTATGTTTATATAAAAATGTTTACACCTATTATATAGCTTAACATAATTGTAGCATGAGGGCGTTTATTAATCACGTCATGTTTTTAGGGGGATGACAAAAAATACACACATCACGTGGGGGGAGGGAGGGGTATAGTAAGATATCACATGTATTTATTTTTTACCTGAATTTTATAAAATCCAAACATTTTTTTAAAAAAATAAAAAATGTTACAATTGTTTTTTCGTAACTAAATTTACACGTTATGTGTGGTCTGGTAGGGGGGCTAATTTTGAATATCGTCACGTATTACCAAGGGGTAAGACGGGTCCACAAAATCGATCACGTGATTAATGGACGCCCCCTAAGGATATATATTTAATCCATAATAAAATCTTGCCAGAGATCGAGAGTTTTTACATCCGTTCGCAAAAAATCAAACACTAAATCGCGGTTGGTTTGCATAAAATCACTATTATTACCTCTTTGCAATGAAGATTTTTTGCGCTATTTATGGCAATCCCATATTCTCCAGCTGAGTGGTACGTGCTGTTGTATTTTAACTTTCAGTTTAGTTCTCGATGGGACGTTAATATGGTCACAACAGAAGTGTGACTCTGTGCGCAAATAACAAAAACACGTGCTTAATCGATCAAATTTTTTAAGTATTGTTGTAAAATAATTATTTTATTCTGTTCCAGTCAACTTGTGCATTCGAAAACCAGTGATCTTTTGGGTAAGATTTTTTTCAAACTTATATTTTATTTTATTTTTTACATTTTTTTATCTTTTATATTATTAGCCGTTATATTGGAGTGGATATGTTTAAACTTCTTTATATATATATATATATATATATATATATATATATATATATAACAAATGTATTCTGAGTGGATAGATAGATATTAATTTAGAAATATGAACAAACAACACCCTTTTTTTGCACTAATTAATTAAATAATAATTTCACAAACGTTTCGAGACTAGGTTTGTCTCATCATCAGTGTGTTATAAATTTAAAATCTAAAATATTTAAACCTATATTAGCATTATGTGTTATCCGTATACATAATGCTAATATAGGTTTTCATATTTTAGATTTTAAATTTATAATACACTGATGATGAGACAAACCTAGTCTCGAAACGTTTGTGAAATTATTATTTAATTAATTAGTGCAAAAAAAGGGTGTTGTTTGTTCATATTTCTAAATTAATATATATATATATATGTATATATATATATATATATATATATATAATATACTAGCATACCCGGCCAAGTCTTGCTGCGGCTTTTTAAAATTTATAACAATCCAAAAAATAGTTTCTAAACTAACTTGTTAAGCAAATCAAATTTGAATCATAAATCAATTTATATTCCATAAATATTGACAACTGTTTTTTTTAAGTTTATAACTGTCAAAATTTATTGAAATTTCTAAAAAATATATATTTTTAATAATAAATGTGATTTTGAATATAGCTTATGACCTAAGTTGGATACATGTGCACACGATGAGCCAATAAAATTCAAAATCGGTTCAGTAGTTTAGGCGTCTATCGCGAACAGACGTTTTGAGACCATGGTATGCCTCATCTTCAGTGTAATTTCAAAAACAGTTACTTATATACTACACATTCTTTAATAAATTACATTTAATTTTTGATAATACAAAAAACACCAACTATCACTGCAAAGCTTAAAATAAATTATATCCAATTGTTAAGCAAATTTTATCATGCAATTAGTGACAAAGTGGTTCAGAAAAATACCAATTAACTAATGTAAATGACACTCCACGATACAGTTTTTGTTCTATGTATAATAATCTGAAATGTTTAATTAATCGAATATTACATTTTTAATTTGTTCACTTTCATAATTTTTCTAAAAATCATATTCAAAGTTCAATATTCCTTGTTTTGCTAATTTTTTTGTTAGTTTCTTGTTGAAAAATTCAAACAATTCATAAAATTCATAATTTATATAAACAAATACGAATGTTTTACATTAAAAATAAAATAAATAAATCACACACGCCCCACTATAAATATATGAAAGTGTATTTAGAAGTTACTTTTTTTTTCTTATACTTTACATTGTTTGTTTGAAGTTGAAACATATTTTTGAATTTTTTTTCAAACAAATTTTTAAAATAAAATTCAATTAATACTTGAATGATTTATTTTATACGTTTCGATACTGTGTTTGTGTCATCGTTCATGAAGAACACAGCAAAAATAAAATTTTTTATATAATAAAAGCAAGAGCACAAAACTTTGAAATAAAATTAAAATATATAAATTAAAAAAATGATAAAATCATGTAGTTTGTCGTTTTATTTTGCGAACTAAAATGATGGATTTAAATTGATCTTAAATTAAAGAATTGAAAATATATTAGATTAAAAATATGATATTACAGTAGATTTTGGCTCGATTTTAACTATTTTTTAAGTAAAAACTTTTTTAAAGCTGAAAATAAATTCAACAAGATGTGGTAGTTAGCTTATTATTAATTTCGCACATATAATGATTTTTAAGTCTTTCGAGGACACAAAATATTCATACGTTTATATTTAAAATCAGATATATTTAAAAACAATAGATCAAATCTCAAATACGTATT